AATAAATGTAGGTAGGTAGGATTTTATGACATTTTAATATATTTAGTCACTAAAATGCTTGAAATGCTTAGAAATTTAAAATAAAAATATGAATTTAATAAGTTATATAGTATAAAAATATGTTCATTCTGTCATTGGTTGAAGAGATGGTGTTAGCAGGTTAATTTTAGGAACTGCGGGCCACACTTTGAGTGGCCCTGGTGTAGAATTAAGCCTAGATTCAGACTACACCACCCCCCACCCCCACAAAGATATTAATCTGATCTACATTATGTTGCGCTATACCAATATCATTTGGTATGGGAATGGAGGGCGGTTTAATATTAGCTTGTGATTCACACACAGCAGCTTACAGTTCTTCTGACACTGTAGGTGTGATTTATCCATAAATTCTGAATTTATGTAGTGTGTTTCTGAGCCTGTGATTCAGCCCTCTGACTTCTAATACACCAGGCAGAGGTGTCAAAATAGCTCACCATCCACACCACGTCTTATGACCCTATGTTATTGGTGCCTCTAATCCTCTTTCTTCCTAATCAGAATTAAAATGAGAACATAGAAATAGCCAAGGAAGACAGAAGCACAACTACTGCTTCCACCAGTAGGTGTCAGCACTTGCATTGAGAATTAGCTGAGTGATCTTCCGCCTCAAGAGATGTGAAGGTCTGCTTCTGACCTGTGCTGTGCTTGTCTCGAAAGTGATGAACATATGTACTGAAACATCAAGAGCTTAGGTGAAGGAGATTGATTCTGATTGTAGTAAGTCCTGAGTTACCCTGCTTCAGGGTCCTCTGTAAAAGAGTTCAAGGGCATCTCTGAAACCATCAAACTGTGCATTTCATATCAGAAGAGCTGAGCATTCTGGAAAAAAATGGCTACTGTTAGCTCAACTTAGAAAGATTCCCTTGATGACAGATGGATAAGCATGTTTTTGAGAGAAAGACATGTGAGTAGCAAAAGCCCATCATGTTTGAATGTTTGATGAACCCATTTTCATGGAATTCTCACGGGTAGGTTTTTTTTTTCTGTGAGTAGATGGATTTGTATGTGAGAGGGACCTCCAATTCTCCTCTTGACTGATTCACTTCTCTTTCTTTCTCTTCCTGTCTTGCTTGTAGAGGAAACCTCTGAGCCTCAGCATGAGAAAATCCATTATTGCGATGGCCTCTGATTGAGAATGCCAATGATTGCTCTCAAATCAAAGCAGATTGTGATCGTCAGGGCAAATGTATGCAAATAGCAGGCAGAGCCTCTGATTAAAGGGTGCTGCTTGGGTGCTGTGGCCGAATTCCTGATTATTTCGGCCCGAACGTGTCAGCAGGCACATCTGCAGCCCTGCCAACCGCATTGCCGTGGCACCATGAGTACCACGACTTCATCAGAGCATGGAAAATTACCAGCCATCAGAGGCATTGTGCACCTGGCAGTTAAACAGAAGCCTGCCCTGTTGCATGGTGTTTCTAACACGATTTTTTTTCAGTACTTTAAACATGATCACTTCATGTTATCACAACCTTTGTTTTACAGGCCAACAACTTGAACAGAAAGCATACCACCTCACCGTATTAAAACTCACCTGCTGAAGCTGGCTTTGGTTCAATAGGAATGTTTGATGGTACAAACTGTTACACCCACTAAGCTGCTTTGTGAGGGGAATGTAGAGAAGTCAGTCTGCCAGTTTCTTTGTTGCATAGCCATGGAGTGGTATTTGAGACTAGACTGGATCAGCTGTGCCAGTCATACAGGCTATTAGAGTGGAGTAATGGACACATTCTGTCAGAGGGACGCTTAATCAGAGTGTATTGAGACTCCCTCTGCCACTGCTTATCGATATTTGTTAAGTTAATAATCTCTCTCTAAATTGCCAAGCTTAGTCTGTCTAAATTGCCAGGCTCGCTCACACTTTCCTTATTTCATCTTTTCCTCTGCCTCACTGCCGTATCTGGACTTACACTTGTGTGTCAGCTGATCGCGAAGACAGATCGTACAGCAGGGCTTGAGGTCACCCATGAGCAACTTCTTGCCTCCAATAATTAGAATAGGAGTGAATTAGCTCAGTGAATGGAACTCATTGGCCTCTGCTTCGATCCAGTGGGTGAAATTTGATGTTATCATCGCCTGGCTTTATGCCAGATTTAGCATAATTTTCTTATTCTTTCACAGAGTAGTTGGCAACAGTCTTGAAGTTGTAATGATCAGCTTTGGGTTTGGGATTTGGAATCAGCTGCGATCCAATTATGAGCTACGTGAGGGGTGTCGTAATGAAGTCTGCTGTTAATGCAAATGTGGAGGGATTCTGCTTATTCAGTGGAAGCTCAGTCTCCATCCAGCTCCCGAACAAAGCCTAGCCACTTGCCTATTTCATTACAGAGAGTGTCGTGAAGGGGCTTTAACGTGAACACCAACATCACAGTAGCTAGATTCCAATTGAAAAGCATATTAGACAGGATTTAAAATCTATCACAGCAGCAAAGTCAGATCACAACACAAAAGAACAAAGAAGCACAGCACAGAGGAATTGAGGGCGAGATTCTGGACTAGATCAGTGCTATTTATTGATCTGTCGTGGAAGGAAAGGCATGTCTTTGTCTACTGCTACAGATTTTGTTTTGACTTGTGAGGTAGACAGTCAGTTGAAGTGACCTCATGCTAGGGAGTGAGTAGTCGCTGTTGTATAGCTGAAATGGTTTCTGAAAATATTTAGTCACAATGAGATTTCAAATCTGGGCCACATATGCCATGACTGCAAAGCAAATAGCCATCGCTGTACTTTTTGCCCTTCACCAACTAGAGCTTCATTGGATCTGAAATTTTGGTCGGAATCGAAATACAACCAAGTTTTGTATCCAAACCTGACCCAGGCCTTCAGGCTAATGTCTCGTTTTAATTCTAGTCTTGTGGGCCTTGCTTACTACCAACAACACAAGTGACGGGCATGCCAGATTAAAAACTGTTTAGATTATTAAAAGTAGGGAGTAAAAATAAAGTAGAGAGAACTTGTTAAATGGCCCATAACTGAATTTTCCTTCCTTTTTTAATGGGTTCAGTGTTAAATTTTCAAAACATGTTGTTCTCTGAGTCTGCCCAATCCATACATGGAAATTAAGCTTCAAAAACAGTCCATTTTGAATTCTGTGTTTTGGTGATGTCACAAAGACCAACAAATTTAGCCTGTTGGATGCACCAGTTTAGCCCAACCCATTAAGGTTGAAGTTTTCATGCTGCATTTATGACTACCTGGAGCTCGGAAGTTTCCATGTCAGAATCTCCTGCTTCCCATCTAAAAGCGTTAATGAAACTTTAGCTGTTGAGGTTGGGGAAAAATGGATGCTCACACTAAGCTAGCACTTGTTTGTGGGGCTAAATGATTTGGGGAAAATATCTACTTGTAATTTGTCTGAACAATCTTACGATTGCGATTTAAATGCAATTATTTTCCACAAATGTATTTCCAGGCCTGTATTTTTTTGGCTAAGAAGACCAGAATATCCACTTTTTCTGGCATGAAGCTTAAATAATGATTATGTCTGACTACCAGTTGTGATGGTTGTGATGTCACATACACAAGACATGGGTGTTTTGTTGCTTCTGACTGATCTAACTTATCTGTAGGCAGTTCACAGGCTCTGTGTTATTAGGTTAAATTTGCTTATTTAAAACTTGGTAAGAGAACATTGTTAATAATATGTTCTATAATAAAAATGGCAGGTCGTGCGATTTGAAAATTACATGCCTTCAAATAGCATTTTCGATATAAAAATGATTAATCTTTCAGCCCTAAGTGTTTGGCTGCTGTGTGCGTAATAAAAAAAGCTCTTAAAGGTGTTTACAGTTGAACTAAAGAGCTGTTCGGTTAGTGCTTCATGTGTTTTAAAAGTGGATGTAGGGCAGTGGCAATTCACCAATAATGTAGTGCAGAAAAATGACACAAATGTTTGCAGTTTGATCAAAAATCTTGCAGAGAAAGGCTTTAGAGTACAATCATGCAAGGATACCACTCAGAAGTTGAAAACTCTCAAAACATGCTGTTATTATAAATTATATTATTATATAAATAATATTATTGTTGTTATTATTATTGCTATTATTATTATTATTATTATTATAAAAGCGCAGCAACAAAAATAGCCTGTTTAAGGGCTTTAGTACATAAAACAACACAATAAAAAAAGAAAACAAGAAAAATGTAGCATATGGGCCATTTAAAAATGGGAAAACGGACTGAAATTCAAACCCAACCCAAGCCAGACAAATATTTCAGAAGTGATAAGTGATGGATATTTCAAGATCTATCACCAGCTATTGGACCTGTCCTAATCATACATGGACATACATGTTTTACTTTAACAGTCATGTTTTATGTGATCAATTATACTGTTTTCATGCCCTTGCATGATTGAAATTTGGTTTACTTAACCCAACAGCTATTGTATTGGTACTGTAGCTTGTCATGTACCAAGTCCTTTGTTTCAAATAGCACTGTGCATATTGTCTATAGCAGATGGAAAGGGATTCAGAAGAGCAGTATTGCGTGTATTGCTGCTGTACTGTGCACTAGGGATGGGTCAGGGCCCAGTTTACTCAGATAGATCTGAGCCATCAGGAGCCTCCCAATGGATACCCACTCCCCAACCCTCCACGAGACAGACAGAGAAAGCCTGAATTGTTGTTCCCCAGTCAACTACATGTCTAATGCAGACAGCTGCAGTTACTCAGACCTGTTGCTATGAATAGAGAGGTTAAAATTAGTTTTGTTTCCCCTGCCTGGCAAAATTGTGTTTTTTTCACTGTAAGTGTTTGGACGATTGAGATGCTGTAATTTGCTGAAATGGTCTCATTGGTCGCTGCCTGTGCCTGTAGGCACTGATGACATGTGGGCCTACAGTTAGAGTTTTTTCATCACAGTCATTCTTTCATGTCCGAAACGTAACGGTGTTAAATTGAGAAGGAATGGTATGCAGTACATCTTCTATAATCATACTTTTCTTTTCAATTTGCAGGTTAATTCACGGAGGTCAGCTTCTTAACGGTTTAGCCGGTCCAACACTGATGAGTGCCGGACCTCTCCTCTCTACTACTTGGTTCGCTCCAGACCAGAGGGCCACAGCCACAGCTGTCGCATCTTTGGTTGGCTACCTGGGGGCAGCCTGTTCCTTCTTGATTGGCCCTCTGGCTGTGCCAGCACCCAATGATACACAAATAGTGAACACCATCACTCACTGGGATCCAGGCCACATCAGGGACAGAATACAGCTGGTTCTTTATACAGGTACAGTCCTGTTTGTCGAAGCTCTAAAACTATGCTCAAAGAGCATTTATACCACTAAAAATCGAAAAGCAATCTCAAGCAAAATAATTCATGATGTCACTCCAAATCAAACATCTGAACAACATTTGACTTTACTTCTTTTTAAAGAATGACTACTGTTGTTCTGGTTAACTGATTCAGAAAATTAAAGTATTTAAAGAGAAGAAAAGAAATCTAGCCTTGTAATAGAATGAAACACTGAGTTTGTTAAAAAAAGATTTTTCTATTTGCGAGAGAGACAACAAGGAAAAATTCTGTTGGCTTTAGAAGTTTGGAAGAAAAAATGCACAGCTATATGCAACGCTAGGCAGTGGATTGAAAAGACATATTTCACATGTTTTGACATGTCTTCTCAAGAGGAAAAAGCATTCATCTAACACATTCAGAAAAGCAATAGTCAGTCTTCTCTATAATAAGCATTCGAGAAGGGTTATGTATGTATGTTCTTCAAAATTGATCATAGTTGCAGTTTTATGGAAATGCTGTTGTTTGGAAATTGACTGACTGTGAAGCATCTAAATTATGTTCAAGAAGAGGCTGGACTATTTTTATTTATTTTTAGTAAAGTAATTGACCGACCTTTTAAATTGTTCTCGTCATATATCAGCCCAATAAAGTAAACAGGAGTGATCTAAAACTGCAGGGCATTTCTGGAAGTTTGTCAGCACATTAGAGCCTATTCTACTTGTAATGTTCCTTTTTGTTGTTTTATATTAAGCCAGAAATGAAAAAAAGAGCTTTTTATGATGTGAGTAGGTGACAGCAGTGCACAATTTGACTAAACTAGGGCTGTGCAGTTCTGTGCCCTCCAGAATTGGTGGCGTGCTTGCTTAAAAAGAGCACAGAAAGCTGTGAAAAATTGTCTCTGTTTTGTATTAGCTTGATCTTACACTGAAAAAGAGAAAAATCGAACCTTTCAGCGAGGTAAAATTATTCAAAAAATAAATTAGCTTTAGCTCACCCTGCAGGTTTTCAGTGGGTTTGAGATCAGGGGACTAAGATGGCCACTGAGAAAGCATAAAAAGGTTATTTCTCTCATATTTTCAATGGAACATCAGTGATAAATAGGAAAAAATGTTTTCCTAAGCTTGTTTTGGTAATCTTTTCCAAGGGTGCCAGTGTTTCTGGAGGTCACTGTAGGTGGTCTGTTAATTGTTATCACAATACTGGCCTTTATAATACTGATATCACAGAAGGTCACAATATGTAAATGAGCCTGAGTTCCAGAGTGTTGTGTGAATCAAGGTATTCAGAGCTCCTAATCATATGTTCTCAATATAAATTGTGTATAGGTATATTGCACTAACACAATATTTAGCAATATAAACACTCTGAAATTTTGTCTATATCATGCAGCCTTATTCTGGACCCAGACCCACACTTGATTGTGCCAAAATTTAAAGAAGAAGCATCACTTGTGACTGTTGCTGTTTGCAGAGGGCTGGGTTAACAAGACACTGACTTGTCTCGTTACGTGTTTCCTCACTGTACAGTAGTGTAATAAATCCATGGGATTCATCGTTAACTCATGAAGAATGTGAGCCAGATGAGAAGTGTTTTGTGGGATGTTTTTCTCTCAATGTGAATTTAACGTCTGAGAAAGTACTCTGAGCTGTATAGGCCGGTGAAGGATTTTATAAACAGAGACAGATTAATTTTGAGCCACACAGTCTCAGAGATTAGAATGCAAGCCTTTGTTTGCTGATTTGCTTGTATTATCAGCCTGTTAACAATATTGTTTTATGTGTAAACACACAGAGTTGGGGGTGATTGCGGTCTTCTTTGTAGCCGTGCTGCTCTACTTCCCCTCCAGGCCACCCAGGCCACCCAGCGTGGCAGCAGCTAGCCAACGTCTCAGCTACAGGAGCAGCATCTGCAGACTACTGAGGTATGCTGTTATCTACCAGCTCACACCATACACTGCCACATAAAGCCAGTGCCTACAGAACAGCTTTAGCAAAGTTAATTCAGTTGTTTATTTTGGGCAAACAACAAGACACTATCACAATCCATATTGGGTGTTATTATGCATTAAAGTATTTACTGTAACTATTATATATTGGTGTTGTTGGAGCTCAAGAAAAGTAACGTTTAGTAGTTTGTGTGTAACAGTAATGTCCCAGCCATAGAGATGCTGTCGCCTCACAGAAAGAAGGGCCTGGGTTCGATTCCCCGGTCGAGCGACCAGGGTCCTTTCTGTGTGGAGTTTGCATGTTCTCCCTGTATCTGCGTGGGTTTCCTCCGGGTACTCCGGTTTCCTTACACAGTCCAAAGACATGCAGTCAGGCTAATTGGACGCCCTTGCCCTTAGGTGTGAGTGTGTGTGCGAATGTATCTAAACGTGATTACATGATTAGAGTCATCATTTTGTTCAAAATATCATGAGAATAACTGATTGTGAGACCAGTATCATGAATTGTATCAAATCATGGGGATGTATTGTTGCACCCTAAGGTTCAGCACAGATTGTAGAAAAGCTAACGAGTGTCTGTGGAAAAATAAAATCCCTCCAACAAGGCAGTTCACAAACTTTTTCATATGCTGGTAGATGTATATTTTGCTGAGCCCACTGACTCTGAGATAGTGAAGACCTCCAGGTTTTAAATGCCATGGACTTGTTTAAAATGTCATGAATTGAATGGGTTTTTGTATTATACATTCATTTGTTTAAAACTGGCAGAGGCCTCCGCCCACATTCTCTGATTCTGCCTTGCTGTGTTTCTGCGAGAACCATAAAATGCAACCACGGTTGTTAACCGTGTGTGCGTGTGTGTGTGTGTGTGTGTGTGTGTGTGTGTGTGTGTGTGTGTGTGTGTGTGTGTGTGTGTAAACTATATGCAAATGCAAATTGTTATCCATGTATGTGTTGGTACAACAGTATGTAACTCATAAAATGTCTTTTTGCAACTTTGCTGAAGTTATTAAAATACCTTGCTGAGATCAATGTATCCATTCCTACTTCTGAAGAATCTGAGAACGAGCTTATGAATTTGGTCTGGACGTAAGGGACAGAGAGTCTTAACGAATAGGGTCTTGTCATTTTGCCACTCTCCATCTGCTCCGGTTAGTTAATGCACATCAAAGATGTGCTTCCATCCCCCTAGATTAATTATCAAGTCTTAAGTTGGCACACTGTCCCTGCACAATAAATAGATCATCTTCGTGTGTACTCTCACTGGCCACAGAACTCTGTGCGCTGTGGTCAGACTGAAGTTGGCATAGTTTTCCACTGAGTCCCTTCTTGATAGAGGTTGTTTATCAAAGCCAGAAACAGTGTCAGTGTTTACAGATCAGAGGCGACCATCCTTGCCTTGGGTGTGTTCACTTCAGCACTGTTGGAATGAGTTGAAGGCTGTGAACTAGAAAGGAGTGAGCATCCAGTGGCACTGGCATACTGACATTTCTTTTAAACTGCCAACAGTTCACCACCCTGAGGTAAACCAGAACTTTCCCACAAACTCTCACTGACGCTTGCAGATATGCAAACTTTCTGCTGAGAGGGGAAAGCTCTGCGCAAAGGGGAAAAACAATGTTGATGTTACCTGTTCTACATAATCATTTCGATGGGGCATCTGTATTTAGACTACAATGCTATCTGTCCACAGACATGAAAACTCAAGTGCAGTAAAAAGATGACAAGCTTAGAAACCAATCCCCTGTAGCATGGTTCGGTGATGTTTCTTGGAGAAGATTTAACATGAGAATTCTTGCACATTCTGAGACTGAAATAGAGGAGTAACAGCTGTGGAATTCAACAACTATGCAAAGCTTGTTGTTTACCATACCAAAGTCAAAAGGCCACTGTGTATAAAATTTGCCATGCGCCTTCTTTTGAGACTCCATATCTATTATAAATAGAGGCCATTCTAAAAACTTTAACATTTGTTTTCTACTGGACCCATTATGGAATGTAGTGCTTGGACCCCGATGATCACCGCTTGCGATGTAATTTGTAGATGGTCTCAAAGCTCTCATAGCAGTCATGACAGTTCACAGAAATGAGCGTGTCCTACATAAATTTCAGATGAAAACTAAATGAAAGCTAATGGTCTTGATATGTTCATGAATGTTCATGATAACATGCTATTCATGTTTTAGCAACATCATCTTAGTTGTGATTGGACCATAAAAATGAATTATTCAGCCAAAACTGCGAGTTGCCAACTCCGTGTTGGCTAAGTAATGACTGTGATCTGCTGCGGTGCTGTGTTTGGAGGGATTCTCTCTCAGATTCTCTCTCAGAATTTTCTGCTGGCAACAGAACCCCAAAACTCATCGACTCATCAAATCCGTACGATTCATGTGAATGGCATATTCAGATTTCACTGAAAGGTGTCTTTACATGTATGTGTCCAACCAATAGGAGGAGAGCTTCCTGTTGCAACTTTATACTTACCCCAGTGTAAAAATGGCCTGATAGAGCTTCGGGAAGGATTTCCACAGAGGCAGTTTATAGAAGTTGTTTACTGAGGTGAAGGGATGGCATTGGAGTGTACTGTGTCTTCATTTTTCAAAGCTCAGAGTTATCTCTTCAGGCTTAGATGTCTCATGAGTTTGAGATACTGCTCCTTTAATTGCTTTGAGTTTGATTGTTCGCACAGACGTCTCTCTCTGATGCTTATAATGCCATCACTTCATAACGACTTTCCTAGAACCATTATCCAGAGCTTGATTACTGTAGTAACTCTGATGATAGAATAGTATTAGGATTGATGGAGCTTGGTGATAAAAATGGCTCTGTCTTCAGAAGTATTCTAGCTTACAGCTGGGCCTGCCAAGGACAAACGGCACTTAGCTGATGATGCCTTTGGCCTGGTGACTCTTCCGAAATATTTCACAGGCAAGGAAAATGCCTGGCATGCTTACCTACTGTAATCTAAATAAGCTCTTGCTAGGGAAAAAAAGGTGCACAGGTATTGATTTTCTATCCAGCGGAAGGTTAATGACATGGATGCAGCTGGGAGAAAAGGTTCTCAATCAAAACACTTTTACAATTGCTCTTGCAAGACTTTGCCATGGCTGCAACTGCACAGACTGGGAGTGGGCTTTGCTCAGCACCCATACTGCCCTGTCAAACATCTTCATAGAGACAGAGGTAATAATTTACAGCCATACTCCTAAGTTTCAGATTGACAAAGACTTAACTTTTTTCTGTCTTGATGCTTTCAAGAATTCACCAGCTGTCCCTCCAAGATGCAGTGTGAGAAAATGCTTTTGGCAAGAAAAAAAATCTTCAGCAAAGCAGACAGTTTCAGAAAGATAAACAAAGTGTCTTTGGAGAGTGCCTATGATGGCTGTCAGATGCTTTGTTGGTTTGTGCAGGAGCTCACCCACACAGGGAAATCAGGGAGGCTCCATTTGGGCCATTAGGGGGAGAGTGAGTGAGCATGGCTGATGATTGTAATTGGGACAGGAGTGATTGGAGTGCTGCCAGAGACCCACAAAGGTGAGAGGGGCTGATTCTGTAAGGGGAATCTCTAGACACTCTTGGCTCTGCTGCTCTAATGCAGTGATTGGAGAGATTCTCATAAAAATGCTATTAGATAAAGCGAAAATATAGCCAGAGGTCTTTGCATCAGATGAGGATTAGTGGCAAATCATGCCTGTAGCATGTTTTAATGGTCAAATCCTAAGAGCTGTGTTGTATTCATTAATGAGGGCTGAAGGAAATTATTTGTTGAAATCAGATTACCTGATTTGTGATTTTCGATATATGCATGTGTAAATTGGATTAAAATAATCGGAGGCAGATAAGATTCAGTGTTTGCGTTTGTACTCCCTTCTTCTGAGGTTGTTAGATAAACCATATAGTCTGTTTATAGAATTATAGAATAAGTTCTATCTGCATCCAGTGCAGTTTTGATATATTGAGGACCAAAGATTTCACTTTCAAAATAGCAAAACTCTTTTGCAGTGATCAGCTTTTATATCTTAAAGTCATTGACTTAAGATACTTTTGAGTGCTGAATGTTAAAATCCAAGGATATTTGGTAATGGTGTTTTCTAGAATTGCCAAAAAACGCAGATGAAATGTTTAGTATATACTTTAATGTGCACTTTTGAAGAAGTTTCATTCTTTGGTAATCTAAATTAGACAGTAGCATCACCGACACTTGTTTTACGAAAAGAATTATGAAAAAGTACATACAAAAGCTTTTTTAAACCACAGATTAATTCCATAATATTAGATGGCTTAGCTAGCTACACATTTATGAGATGACTGCAGTTTCAGATTTATTTTTTCTAGATAGTTAACCTTTTGCTACCCTGATAGCTAGGTTGCTTCTTTGCAGATTTTGTAAATTAGATGGCTAACTTTGTGGCTATAGACTGTAGATTAGGTGACTAGTAATACCAGATGGAAAAGCAAGGTAACTTTATTTTTTTAATTTGCTAGCAAACTAATAACCTCCAAAGGTGGCAATATTAGCTAATCAATCTAATCTAATATGATTAATCATATTCCTTGAACTCAGCTTTTAGTAGTTAGTTAGTTAGTTAGTTAGTTAGTTAGTTCTCTGTTTTGTAGAAATGATAATTTAGCTAGCTGGCTACCAATCTGACAACTTTAGCTAACATTAGAATTGGTTAGAAAAGTAACATTAGAAAAGTAAGTGATTCTAATTTGAAAAATGCCTTTAATTAAATTAACTGGTCAGTTGAAGTGATTGTTTAGAAGTCTAAAAGCTAATTTCAGTGGCATGCAAGCCATCAACATAGCAAAGCTCTTAAGCACTGTAAACAGCCAATTATGCAATCCTCAAGTTCATGACAAAACTACTGAAATCCACAACATTTTTGGTGATGGCAAAATTACAAGGGTAAGGAAAATGAAATATCTCAAAAGTACCTCTCACAAGGTAATGTGTTTTCTGTGTTGTGGGTAGCATTTGGTAAGTTGAATAAACCTGCTTTACAAGGCTAATGCTAGTCTGTATGCCAGTTAATGGCACCTGTCACATAATGCTGACGTAAACACCCTCATGATGATGTTTTGAACCAGGCTATTTGGAGTCATTTGGTGAAATTACACAGATCCTTCATCCTATACGAATCTGCCAGTCCAATCATGCACAAATTACATTGTCAGACCTGTGGTACAACTAATTTAGCTCAAATAGGGCTTTATTAGGCCATTTTCAAGAAAGAACTTTTTATTTTTTGAAAATACAGACTCTGTATTGTTTATTGTTTATATTCTTTAAAAAAGTCACCATAGTATCAATAATCAGCACTAAGAGATTAACTACATATACATACCTCAGTTTTGAGAAGGACATCAGACAGAATCTTCTAAGCCCATTATTTCTCTGTTGGTTATTTTGCAAAGTCTTTCAGAATTTGATGGTGGGTATCTTTTTAGATTAAGCTCATCTCCATGTCCAGAAATGAACACAAAAGAACTATTTACTAACAGTAATATGTTACAGAAAACATTTATTTAAAATTTGAACCTTGAGGTCAGACTAAAGATAAATGCATTTGAAAGTGACATCAAGCTGTAGAAAACAAAGCTATGTTGTCAAGCAGTTGCCCCATTCTATAATAACACTTGCCTGAGAGCTACCTCCGCTGTCACCTTGGTGTAACCCCTGTCCTGCAGAAATTTATCTCTGTCACATGGCTGAAAGGCTGGATAGTCTTTTGGGTGACGGGCTAAGCAAAGCAGTTTGTAACAAAATAAACCTTTTTAATGGGCTGGGAACACTGCTTTCAAAATGTAATAAATGAGAAACAAGTAAATGTTCAGCATTGTTGGCATTACAGCAAAGGATGAATATAGGATGTTTGTTCTATAAATCACTTATAAATTTAAGTAGTTTAGGCAGGAGCAACTGGTGCTGCAGAAGAATTTTGTATACAAAAGGAGCTAATATACAGAATCATTCATGAAAATTAGGTGGATACATCTTTCATTTTCTTGTATTTGTACACAGAACCGAGATGTGGAGTGTACCACTCCCCCACCCCCCTTCCTACACCATACTGACTAAAGGGTTTCTTAGTTAGACTTGCAAAAGGGATGTTATTCAGTACCAGAAATTGAAGCTAATTATGGATTTGCAAGCTTTTCAAATTCAAAATGCTTATACTTTGCCAGTTCCTTTGCTTAGTCAACAGATCTTATGGATGTATATTTTCATACGTACATCCAGAATTCAAGGGTGCAGCCTGTGAGAACCTTGTCTGGCCATTTGGCTTTTCTTTGGCTCCTTGCACTTATATAAAATGCATAGACGTGGCTTTGGCCACTTTATAGAATATAGGGGTGCATGTGCTAGCTCTGTTTCTTGATCCTGGTCCTGGAGTGCCACTGCCCTGCACATTTTAGTGCTTTTCTTGCTATAACACACCCCTTTAACTCAATAATGGGCTGGTAGTGAGCTGATTAGTTAGATCAGGTGTGTTAGGAGCAAGGAAGACACTAAATAGTGCAGGGCAGTGGGACTCCAGGACCAGGGTTGAGAAACTCTGCTAGCTTATCTGGACAACATAAATGTAATATCACAGTAAAGGGAGAAGGTTCAGCTGCTTTTTGTCACACATTCAGCACCTGGGTTTCTTAGCCAGTCTAAATAAACTGCTCTCTGACAATGAGCCAAAAACTCCTGAAACAAAAAATCTTCTTTGGGGTTTGGAAAAGGCCTGTGCTCTCTCACAAGCATTTTCCTACAGTTAATTTGGGATACAATCCTACCTTTTCACCAGTACCTTAAACTACCTTATGCCATCATTGATAAGAGTTATTCTGCTGGGTGTGCAGATGTAAACATTTGTGAGTAACATCGTTGGATGTTGTCACAAGGTGTGAATGCTTTGAGTAATCTCCAAAAAAGACTAAATATGACTGAGAACTGGATGGCTGTGTTATCCTCAAGAATGGACCCTGCCTACTACTATCATGGCTTGCCAATAGGCAGAGTCATATATAACAAGGCAGTGATGACAGACACATCCCTGGCAGATTGGGCAACAAAGCAAAGGTGAGAGGAGCATGTTCTCTTGCCCGGCACTCCTTCCACATCAATTATTTGGGAGTTTAGCGGCCAAAGGTTAGCTCTCTAATATTATTGCTACCATTCATAGTGCAAGAGCCGCTTCAACCTGAGTGGCTATTATCTTTGAAGCTCATATGAAGTTTCATTTGATCCTCTGGGTGTGGGCATGAGATTTGTTTCATGTAGACTGCTTGCCTTGACCTCTAGTTGATTGTCACATACTGTCAGTGCACAGCTTCATGTACGCAGTTAGCAACAAACATAAGGTTACATACAATTATGCTCAGGCCTTTAGTTCATTTAACCGGTTGTCCTTTTGTTTTGTGAACCCCAGTTTATGGCAGGGCTTTGTCTAAACAAAGGGTCTGGAGTTACTTGAAGGAATGTGGCCAAGTTCCCCAAGGAGAATGTTAACGTCTTGGAAACTAATTTCCAGGTTTTTTGGTGTTCAGCGTTTGCTGTGTGGAGCATGAATATAAGTGCCAAACTACATTCATTATACGGAGCGAATTGACTGAGAGGAGCTGATGGTTATGCATGTAGCCACTGTTCCTTGAAGGTGAGGTACAAGGCACAGCACAGGTTGCCTCACTTTGCTGTTAGGTTCATTGAAGAGTGGCTTACAGAACTTAGGGGAGTTGCTTGTAATGACGGTTTAAAAGTGGTTAAGGGGCTGTGTGACCCTACCCTCATCAGTATGGGTCATTTGCCTTGCAGGCATGAGTGAAGGTGTCTTCAGACAGACCTGCAAGACTGTGATATCCCATACTCCATGTGTACCACATTCCTCTCCTTTAGGGTACAGCAGTTGTATAGATTACCATGATGGTGGTGAAAGGTTCAGTGTACAAAATATTTTCTGAATGGTCCAATATTTTAACTAATTCCAACAGTCCCGAGCCACTAGGGCTAAACAATTTGGGGGAAAATATCTAATTGTAGTGTTTTCTGACCAATATTGTAGCTGCAATTCAATTGGGATTATTTTCTTTAAGGCAAAATCAAGACCTGTTATTTTGGCCTAGAAGACCAAAATATCCACTTTTTTCTGGCTTGAGGCTGAATGCTGCCATTTACTGACAGTTAGTTGTGGTTGTGGTATCATGAACACATGAGCACATGGTCGTTTGGTTGCTTTTGATTGGTCTAATTATCTATAGGCTGTTTACAAGCTCACTGTCATTAAGTTAAATCTCTCCACCTTTAACTTAAGACAATGTGTTTTGAGTATTGTAGTCTTTCAAATTGCATTTGGATATAAAAATGATCACCACAGGACAACTGATTTTTAGGTCTGTGTAATTTAAGAAAAATTGATCTGAAGACAGTTTGCAAGTGTAACATCTTTTTTTAGTTTTCCTTTATGATTTTGAGCTTTGTCTTCTGTTGCTATACTCAGAAAAGTGGAGAGATCATTGCAGTTCTGTATAAAGCCCATTCATACTTTTTGAACTGTTGATGACAGAATGAAACACTGTTAGTGAAAGACATGAAAGCGCAGAAGTGAATGCGGGGGATGTTGACATTCAAATTCAACATTCAGATTATTATTCTGAATGTTCTTTGACAACTCAAATTACCATGATATATTCATATTCTTCTCAAAGAGGATGCTGAGTATTCTCTAATGCATAGCCTCTTTACATTTTTTCTTTTTACAGTAATATGAGGTTCCTGATGATAGCGCTTGCCTATTCAGTACCCACAGGAGTAGTAGCTGGATGGTCTGGTGTACTGGACATGATCCTGACTCCAGTCAGAGTCAGCCAGGTAAGGAATCGAATTTCTTCACTAAAAGGACGTCTGTGGGTTTTTAAATTTTGTGGAGAACATCCAGGTTTATGTCCTTCATGTTTGATGAGCCTAGCAAAGCATTATCATAATTTCAAGCACCACTAACCTGAGCCTAATGGTAATAAAAAGAAGGTTATGGTTAAAGTAAAAGAGTTTAGTTTATGAATTGATGGCTGCTTATTTTCAGCATAACAGATCTTTTTTCATATTCAGTATGTCTTGTCAGTATATTGGGGTCTGAGAGGTGGGGGTTAATGTTTTTTAAACTGTAGTTACCTGAGGATAGACGTCAGACTCATCCTCCTCTTTCTTTTCAGCTGTGTTGACGATCAGTTTAATTATGATCAAGGCGTATACACAAAAAATGCAATTTCCTTGTCCAAAATGGATGTTGACTCATAATTAACCCCAGGGCATACACACACACACACACACACATACACACACACACACACACACACACACACACACACACACACACACACACACCAGCAGTGACTGAGAGCCCACAGCAAAATCTTCAAAAACTGTTTTCCTTCCTGGACCTCCTCATTAAAAATTGGCAAGTCTATGTGAATAGACTTTGAACTTTAGAACTGTTGTTGAAAAGATCTAATTATGGTCTTTAAAAAAAGTCCAAAGCTATCCACATCAGTGCCTAATCAAACATACATGCTAGAGACTGCTTTATTTGCATGTTTGCGAAAATACTCCATGTTCAACAGCCCTAGAGCGTAATAAGACGAGTCCTCCATCTCAGCGTCCCTGATTCTTCCCAACCTCCTCACATTTGCATTTGAAACCTGAGGGCGGCGAGATAAAACGGTCTTATGGCACTCAAGGCCGATCTGAAAATGGGGCCTGAGGGAGACGAAGATGTGAAGTTTCCTAGTCCCTTGTGTGACAATTTTCTGTTCAAGGTTATCATTAGACAGGTGTTGCCACTGAGGAAATCAAACAAAAGGTATGATGCCCCCTTTCTCTGTCTCTCACAGCTGTCAGACATCATCGGTGTGTCTGTCTTCACTTTAAGCTTCAATTCTCACTGAGCGTACCGTCATTGATAATACCTCCCTGAAGCATTCTCTTCTTTCACTCTGTGGTTTCAGTGTCCTTTTACTTTGTTAACCTTCAACATAAACTGAGACAAGGATAAGTTAGATATGAAGATTACATTTTGATTTTTTGGCAGTTTTTTTCTAGCCCTTTTTTAAACTGAAGCTCACACTATGTGGGGTAAATAAACACAAACATAATCACACTTTTTATTAGCCAAACTTGCAGTATAAACAACTTTTTTATTTAATGGACTAAACTGGCATTTTAAAATAGCAAACTTAAATCAGTTGCTTATTTAAATAACATGACACAAGAAACCACTACATATTAAGTAAGAAGCCACTGGCTGTTTAGCACAATAAGCATATGCGTATCATATCAAAGCATAATTTTGCTGTTATATATTGGCACAGGTACAGTAACAACATTCAAATGCACTTACCTGCTCATGTTATTTATGTCATAAAATGACAACAGATCTAGATCTTTTCACTGCACATCAGACTGAGCTCTGCACATACAGGCAGTTGGTGTGCAAGCAGCTTGTGTAGACGTGAGCAGCTAGCAAAGTGCATAAAGGGTTCAGTGTGAAAATAATTTAGGTTTAGGCTTAGACATAGCCTAAACCTAACCTAACCCAAAATGAAACAATGAATTTGACCGATTGATGATTTTGTGTTTTAAGCAAAATGCTTAAGCTAAACTTTACCTCTTTTATTTAGCCCAACATGCCTGCAGAGAGCACAGTTCTCAGGTCTGGCTAGAAGTGAAAATTTGTATGTGCACTGTTTGGTTGTGGTGCTCCTCACTGAGTGGTATGCCCTGTACTACTTTTCCCTGTGGCAGGCAGGCTGTTTCTTGGTGGCTAGGTCTGAGGATGGCAAATCGCTGTTAATGGTGAAATGGAAGTGCTGTACAGAGAACTGTGTACTAGATGGCACTAAACCACTTTCCCCCCTATACTTAGAACAAGTTTGTTCAAAGTATAGGTACAAGATGTTTGGTCCAGAATCAGTCATCAGACACCAGGGCTCACTCTGAGTGCCTCTTGTCTACACAGTGTTGTTGGAGTTATGCTGTTAGAATTGAAGGAAGCGAGACAAGATGGTAGAATAAAGCGCACAGGACTACACAACTGTAATTAGTGTTGTTCAAGAGCAAGCTCCCTAGCTGCGTAAATCAGTTGTATGTAGTTGCTCTGTTAATGGAGATTGGCCATTAGGCTTGCACAAAGTGGCTGCAGTCTCTGATTAGGGAGACACCTTTTGCCCTCTTTTACTTGTGGTGGTTAGCTCAAGTTGATGAGCATAAAAGTGGCAATAATAGGTTTTATCAAAACTGCCAGAGTGAGACATACAATACTTATGCTTAAAAACGGCAGTGTCTTGAAAGTTGTTTTCTCTGATGAAACTGCAAGAAAACTAGTGTAGGTTTGTGAGGTGAAGCTCGTTTCAAGGACTGATGCCATGTTTATTTGCCCCCAGGCTTCAAACAAGAGAGAATTAAAGACCATAAACACACTAATGTACCAGAAGCCTGAAGCCTTGGCTTTAACTTCAGCTTTTCATACTCATTTCCTAGTTATTGACCGTGTTTCAAAAATGCAGGATAGCGCTTAACATGCCACGAATCTCATTTTTTCTGCTTCCAGTTAGCATATAGCCGTTAATTAACTTCTTTCCTCCACATTAAGTGCTTGGATTTGCTTCCTGGCAGCCAAATAACTATGAAACAATTTGTATTTGCCCGACTAATTAGTGTAAACACTAACCTGGAATGAAGTGGCATTTTGGATTTGTGAGAAAGCCCAAATGGTCTATCTGTAGTGAGCACATTATGACTGTGGTAAACGTCTCTTATTCAAACAAATGCAAGCACAGTGAAAAATGGCATAACATACTGCATGGATATATTACACCAAAGATTGTAACTGTTAGACAGCACAGGACCAAGCCTGTATTTTTGTTTTATTTTTCTTAGCTTTTAACAGTCTATCAGACATTGCATTGAGTCTTTCTTTAAGTGTCTCTTTGGTGATGCTTTGATATCTTTCTGAAATACATTCTCTGATACCACATCACTACTACCATACTTGACCTCAGGTTTGGCTGTCACTGGCTTGTCTGACTTGCAACATCTACTTGAGTTGAACCAGAGTGCTCTGCCTAAGTTTCCAGACATGCGCCATGGACAGAATGCAGACTGGCAAATTTCTGTTCACCTGATTGACATGTTCTCTCAGAGAGCAGACACGCTGCTTCAATCTGCAGCCAGTTTTCTATGAGAAATGCCCCTGCATCACAAGCAATGAATAATCCTGCTTTTTGCCTCTGTCCCTCTCCTCTTCTCATTTCCTCCCTCCCTCTATGTATAGTGTCCCTAAAAGCGTTTGCACGTTTGTTTCATGCTTTAAAATGTATTAAGTTTATTGTGTTACCCAACAAAATGTCTAACCAAGCAGTAATTATTTTAATGCTAAGTAGCAATATTGAGTCAAGAGAAACAAAAAATTTTGCTTCAGTCATTTTAACCTGTTTCTCAACCTGAGTTCTCTTTGAATATTCTTTCTACGCATTCGCAATCATCTGATTCATCCGTTCAGGAAAGGGGTCCGAAGCACAGCCGAAATTACAAAATGTTCTTCCTCACATTGCATCCTGTTACATATTTCCACTAGAGAGGTCTCCAAATCCCCGGTCCCCAAATCTTACATAGTGTAACTTCAAGCAGACAATTGCAAGACTATAATTTTCTTTTTAGCAAAGTATTCTTTCAAAAGGAGCTGCTGTGTTTCTGATTGTTGATGTTTGAGCAGTTTGTTGGCTGACTTCTACAGGTTTTCATCCAAAATTGCCTTTGTACACTTCTGAGCTCTTGGTCCCACTAACTAACACAAGCTTACTGACACCACTGTAAGGAAAACAGGTACAGACTTCAACGTTTCAACCTCCGTGCTTTGTAGTACCCTTAGTGCCATCTAGTTCAAATTCATCTCCAGGGTTTCTCCACACAAAGAGTCTACCATGATTTAGTTTTTCACACCTCCAAAGTTTTAGAAATTGCTTGTATGTTTTGCTTCTCATGATCCAAGTAATCCAAAACACATTCAGTAATGTTGAGGTCTGGGCTCAGTATATGCAACAGTACACAAAAGTTTGGTTGCCTAGATGAAATTACATGTTTTGTTTCTAAGTCAAAATAAGTCCGCATTCTCTACAGAGAATACTCTTATGCACATTTTAATGCATAATTACTGTTTATATGCTGAATTGGATGAAAAAACATAAAAAATGCATTTTTGCAGGGAGTGAATATCTCTCTCTCTCTCGTTCTCTCTCTCTCTTGCTCTTTTACAGGTTGATGCTGGATGGATAGGATTTTGGTCTATACTTGGAGGCTGTGTGTTTGGAGTAGCCATGGCAAGGTAAGCACTGACACATTACATTAAGGAGAGAAGAAGCAATATAATATAATTGAATTCAAGGTTTTGTCCAACAACCCTTTTCTTTGTACTCTGAGACATTTAAATGCAGTACATATCTTAAGAATCTCCTGTGCCCAGTGCTGTGGAGAGATAAATTGCTCCGCTCTCTATCTTCACTGACCTTGAAAAACATTATTTTGTCAATGTCACTGTTTTGTAAAGCCCAACTATGTGGAGAAAGGGGGGGGGGTTGGATTCTCTCAGGCTCCCCAGCTAATTTACCCTCTCCCTCCTAATTTATTAAAATCAGCTTTGTGATGAGCAGCAGCTAAAAATGCTAATGAAATGGGCACATCGCAGAGCTGATGGATAGGCACTAGCGCAGACACACCAAACTGTGTAGTTGGCGAAAGCAAAGTGTTTGTCTACAGTTGATGAATAAACGTTTGTTATTGGGTCCAATCAGCAGTTCTGGGAATGGCTAACATTTTGAAAATGTTGTAATTAGGAAAATTAGAGTATAACTCTTCCTGTTAATCAGTTGGCAAATCATTGGTCTGAGGTTAGAACTAGGACAGCAGTAAAGTTAGAAGCAAATGCTGATTGAGCTTACATCATTTAAGGGCTGTAGGGCAAACTAGAAACCTGTGAAATGCTCCAGATCAGCTTGTTATTCAAATTAACTATGGACAGCAGCCTGGATGGGGATCCAGGAAGACTGATTAAAGAAGCCAGACGCCCTGCTGATTGGCTCTCCTCTGTTTTGTATGTGTGTCAATACGGTGTCTGTGGGGGCCAGCCGGAGGCTCTGTTGGGAGCGCGTTAGAGAAAAGCAACAGATGCCCTCACTACTTCCTCCTGGCAGCCTGCTCCTTTGCGGTGCCATTAGTGATCGTTTGCAGGCCGATGTGCCATTAATGGGCCCCTGTGAGTTACAGAGGGCCGCGGTGCTCTTCCTCTGCTGCGAATCATAATGCAAATGCATGTATGAACGTGAGTTATTAGGTGCCACGGGCTCCTGCTTCCCAGCCCAGTGGGCCATGTCCTGGCTATAGAAAAATGGCTGCATTAACATTGAGCTCCAGAGGTGATGACCACACATTTTAATTGATTCGGTTCCAGAGGCACCTTTAATAGCTCTTGTTCTCCTCAAAGACGTGTCCTCATTCGCCGATACGGCAGAGTTCATCCAAACAGATGAATCACGAGAGGCTTGTACGTCAATTAGTGCAAAGTACCGCGTGGTGTGGCGGCTTGGCGCATCGAGACGCCTGATGAACAGCCCTGCAACTTTTAATTGTCACACAACAGCTTGTGCAAAGAGTACCACTGCTGTTTTTAGATACACCCTCCATCCTCCATCAAATCGTGGCCCATTACCTACCCAAGGAGCGGTTAATTAATGGCCAGCTGAAGTTAAAACTTACTTCTGTTAACCAGAAGGAGAATTTGATAAATTTGTAGCCAGGTACATGTTTGTTTTGACCTTGCTTATCATGTCTCACCCAGATTGGTTGCCTGTTATTCCTGCTACTGTATCAGTTACTAGTCAAGATGAAGATCTCCTGTGAGGCAGTGGACTGTTTTTATATTCAGTTATGTTTGGTAACCTTGAGCCATTTAATCAGGTAGACATTGCTCTACAGGTTGGGATATTTTGCCACATTCTTACACCACTGTTTTTGTAAGAACAGTACAGTATAATCAGCAAAGTAAATGGTTTAAAAATGAGCCATTGCTCAAGCAAGAGGTGGATTAAATGGGCAAATAATTGAGCGTTCCAGTTCCAGAGAAACACATCTTTCTATCCCTCTCAAAAACCATTAAAGCATTTGTACTTGAAATATGAAGTTCCCAGCACTGTATGGAGATTCAGCTTTCAAATTATTCATGACTGGTGTCCTGGATCATGGATTTACTAAGAAGTCTGTTGAACAACTCATCAAGCACCATTATAAACTTTTTGAAGGTTGTATATTGTACTGAAACTAACCTTTACTTATTTTTCACACTGGTGGTCAGAGCTTTACACTGTCAGCTATTACCTTCCTACATGGGATTTTTTTACGAATAGGACTGCATAGTGTTTCAAATCAGTCTGTAATAACTGACTTCGAATGCAGCAAAACCAGTCAGAGCCTCAGAGTGCTTTTCTTACCTCTGATTTCTTCATTGTAGAGAGATGCCCTGGAGACACTCTTGTATCTACACGAGGTGCTGATTGAAATTTGTGAGCAGAAGCAGTGGAGAGAGAACTTTGTCTGCGCTGACTGAGTTTGACTCGGATCAAATGGTTGCGTGTTTATTTGAAGTTGTCAGTCAACTTCAGTAAGACTTTTCTCCAAAGAAAGTAACATAGAAAAATAAAAGGACAGTTTTTTTCCTTTTCTCTCCCCTCTGGCACTGTTGCCAGAAATAACACCTGCAAAAAAGAAAAAAAAAAGTTTTGTCAGTGCTCAGCGGTAATTTAGAGCTTTTGCTATCACTTTGAGCAATGGTGTTGGATGAAATTCCTGATTTTTCCTTTTCTGGTGTTGTGCTGCAGGTTTGCTGACTCCATCCGGGGAATGCTGAAGCTGATTCTGGTGCTGATGCTAGCTGGAGCCTCCCTGGCGGCCACCTGGTTCACTCTCACCTGCTTGACCAGACTCACTCACCTCCCCTCCACTAAAGGTAGTCTAGGGATAAATATAACTTTTGTGTGTTGTGTGGAGGCTTGAAGGTGGCAGCCTGCAGGGCCATAGCATGGTCAAATAGAAACATAGGCAAACTGCAGAGATGATGCTGAATGCACCACTGCCAGTGGAGCTCATTAGGTCCAGATCAGTGAAGAGAAGCAAGAACTGTGGCTCCACAGAAGCACGGGCCTGAAATGAGCATATGCCCCTCTGATGAGCCAGCTCGAGCATTTTCATCCATCATCATCTCCTGCCTGGCACCTGCTACTTTATCTGCTTTCTCCCAGCAATACTGGCAGACAGAGTCTTTGGGCTCGGTGGGGTTTCTCTCCACCTGGCAAGCAAGAGCTCCACATTTGGACCCTGTGGCAGTCCAGGAGCTTGTGCTTCGTTTTGCAGCACATTTCACCTGCTAGTGAAAGTGAGCTATCTCTGAGTAACAGATAGCTCATTGTACATGACATGACTATTTTTCTAGATTTACTGTGTAGTCATATGTTGTTTTTGAGTTGGTACTCATAAAATGGCCTTCCTTTGTGTGATTGACACCATTTGTTGTACTGAGCTGAGAAAGGATTGAATCAACTGATGGTTCTTCTTTGCCCCCAGCCACACTTTATACCTCCTGCATCCTGGTGGGCATCTTCATCAACAGCAGCGTTCCCATCTTCTTCGAGCTTTTCATCGAGACAGTTTACCCCGTGCCAGAGGGTATCACCTGTGGAGTGGTCACCTTCCTCAGCAATCTCTTCACAGGCCTGCTACTCTTCTTCCTCACCTTCTACTTCACAGGTAGATTGAGTTCCATGCTCTTTTTATTTTACTGTGTTCTTTTTATTACTCGGGGGGGGACAGGATTATCTTCAGGGATTAGCACTTACATGATGCTTTAGCTCACCACAAATTGATTTTTCTGCTCAGATCACTGGTTATTCGTGTCTTGAATATAAACTTGAATTTATTTTACGGTTAGCTGACAGTTCTGGCGGATTGATTTTATGTTTGTTAACAATCTGGTTCAGGCAGGGCTGAGAACATGTTCCAGCAGACCATATTATTATTCTGGACTTCAGCGTTTGTTGCTAGACGGTTACTATGTTTGGTCACAGCTTGTAGAATGACTTGTTTCACCCTGCGTGATGTTGCTGAGACTTGTTACCAAAACAGAGCACTAGGAGTCTGTTCACAATTCAGAGGTATAGAATCAGTGGAGCTGATTTAACTTGGCCCACTCACTGTCTTGGTCAGTCAGAGAATGCCTTGTGCTTTTTGCAGTTGTATCCTTCCTCTGAATGCTGATTAGCCTCCACCATAAGGTTATTCACATGAGAAAGCCAATCAGGTGGAATGATGAATAATGTGCCGAGGGGTTGACAGGACTTCCCCCTCTCCTCTCGTGTAAATAAGAGCTTCCTGTTGAATATTGATGAGGAACTAGCTGACAGATTCCTCCTGGTAAGCAGGTGGCTAGGCAAGTGCTCTGTGATAGCTCTATCCCAAGTCCGCTCCATCCCTGCCTATCGCTGAAGCAGAATGGCCACAGGCGCTTCACTCGGTAACAAGCGATGTGGCATGAAGCGATGGTGCACTCTGTCTCTACTTCCTAAAGGCTTTTGACAGAGGGCAGGTGCTCATGCATATACATTAGCATTGGGAGCCCTCTGTGTTTGGGTCTGTGTCTAATCACTGCTGATTCATGTTGAGGCCCCACTATCATGATAAATGATGAAGTACGCAACAGCATGTTCCATAAACCGTATCAGCCAGCACCATCAAACGACACTGTCAGTCCCACCAGCCTCTTCCATGGATTGTGTCCGGCTATGACAGACAGACTACTGGATTTGTATGAGGAAGTAGGGTGCTGGACATGGACGAGGTGTTGAGAGATTTTGGCAGCTCTTCCATCTTCCTGTTGATCCCCCTGAGAAGATTATAGCGTGATGAGCGAGCTTAGCATGGCTGATCCTTTTAAATCTGATTCTGTTATCACTCTCAAACAAAGCTATGCGACTCTCTCTACTGCATCTGATAAAGGCACTGACCAGCTGAGACCTGGCAGAGACACTGGACAGAGCAGACAGAGGTTGGCATATACTATATACGGTTTTGTGCTGTTGACTTAGCCCTTGGACCTTTCTGTCTCAGTTTGTCAGCTGTGGATACGCTGAATGAGCTCATGGATTTCCTTGAGTTTCATCAGAATCTTCCTGAAGCCTTCCATTTCCTGTTTTCCTCAGCTGTTCTTCTATTTATCAAAACAGGCACTCTAGATACAAATATTTCTATTTATTCACACCAGAGACATAGAACGTGGTGCGCATCTCAGAATGTTTGTTAAATAGTGATTATGCAACAGTCTGGTGCACAGAAATATCTTTAAATAGAGTTAGTTTGACTTTATTCAACTGGGACAGTGACTTTTCATGGTTATTTTTGCTTTGTGAATAGATGGGTGGGTAAACAGCTTTGCAGTCAGTGAAGGTTAACAGTTTACATTAGTGGTGTCAAAGTTAATGTGGTAAATTTAAATGAACTATAAAATGTGAAAGTTTTGCTTGTTTCTATGAGTAAATATGTTACTCATAAAATCATACACTATCATATACAACTATTTATAATATTATATATATGTTAGATATATATTAGATTAGATAATAAAACATATTTTGGAAATGTAGTCCTCTAGTCCTGTAGTCCAGATAGGAAGACGCAGCGTTTCCTTTTTCTGTTTTGTGTTGTCTTTTTCCTTCTCTGCAGTTAAAGAGAGAAGTGTTCATGAACTTTCACAGATTCTCAAATATCTAAATTAGTCGGATGCACTTCGCTAGTCTGAAGTATCATTACAAGCCCAACGCAGTGCTGTTGCAAAAAAGAGTTATATGAGTAATGTTAGTGCTGAAGAAGGCCTTTAGCAGACTGGACAGTGCTCGCAGGAGAACTATGAATAAATCAATGCAAACTAACAAAAGCAACAGCAATGGGGAAAGCTCCAATTCCCTTTAAAAAACATGCCGATATGACCAGTAGGAGAATGTAAAATATACATTATCATGTTTATTACCAGCTAATTTTAGTCTTTGAGAAGGTAAATGTTTTTTTTGTTTTCTTTCCCCCCAAAAGTCAGGTAATCAAGTTTAGCCAGTTAATCATTATGGCTGTATTCCTGTGGTCTACAGGCAAGTCATTTATAAATTCGTACATGTGAATTTTCTAGTGCTCTGCTCCACTAAACAAACTGCAACACTCCTGCAGAAGGTTTATAAACCTTCCTCAGTGACTCACACTTCATTTCATTGTTTGTTCTTTTGTAATTAATCAGATACCGCCATCTTGTTGCTCATATGGATGAGGATCAAGTTCTCAACACCATCAGTCTGGATTTAACATGTTCAGTGTTCTCTCCTCATGCTGAAGAGTGTCGCCTCAGTCTGTTCACTTATTTTCCAGTTACACATCTTTTGAGTATGACTGAGATTTCCAGAGCTGAAATAACTGCACGGAAACATCAGTGTACTTAAAGAGTAATATATTAGACGGTCCGTTCAGTGATTTTGGGCTCGATGCCGATCACCTTTCAGCACGATAGGCTGATGGCCAATACTGATCAAGGGCGGGGCTGGATGCCACGTTCAAAGCTGCAGTAAGCGATTCTGGAGAACAGTTGTTGATATTTGACCCTCAGAAGCTCTGCCCCTCCCCCCAAATTCATGGATGTGCATTGCCAAGCTGAATAAAAGTTGTTTGTTTTTTGTTTTGTTTTTTTTTTAATGATCTTCATGGCCATAAAACCCTTTACAAGTGTTGTACGGGCAAAAAACAGTAAACTGTTGCTAAAATTGCTACTGCAAAGCTGACCAGTTGGGATTTGCTATCACAAACTTTAGCAAACAGGATGAAACATTAATGACCTATTAGGTCTGTGAAACAGCAAAAGTAAGTGCAACCTCTTCACCCCTTATCATAGCTTTTAACTGTTGCTGAAGCTGAAGTCAGCTTTTTTCCTCGTCATCTTCTTGTTTAAATTGTCCTGTTCCACCTTAAATGGTGCAGCAGTTACATTCTGGCACCTCAGGCTAGCATAGCCATTGACATAACTGGAGCCTATGCAAGCAGCACAGCTAACAGGCCAAAGCCATAGGTCCTGAAGCTAGTGCAGTACAAGCTAAGGTTAGATTGAAACTTGGATGCTAACATGCTAACAGAAATGAATCCACAAAGCTTTGACAACAAACCTTGTTAATTACAGTTCTACATGCTCACACACTTTACAGCTAAATAAGAGCCAAATATGTAATAATATAAAATGTTTTTCATTTTAGAGAAAAAGATATGATGAGGCTGAAGTTAGCTTTCTATTCGCCAGCTTCTTGTACGACCATTCCACCTTAAATGGTGCAACAGTTACATTCTGGCAGCTTAGGTGAAATATGGCTCATATGTTTTATGTCACTGATCAGCTCTCAGGATCAGCTTAGTTAGAGAGATATCGGCCGATCGCATATTTGGGCTGAAAATCGTCTGATACATAGCCATTCAATCTTTCCATCTCTAGTATTATTAGTAAGTCTAGTTTCACATTAGAGTGAGGGGGGATCTCACATTGGCGAGTTCCCCTCATCATAGTACCCCTCAGTGCGATACTTGCCAGTCTTGCTCATTCACTTTGAATTTGAAAGTATGAATGAGGCCAAAAAGATAGAGATATTCATACTTTTGATTTTGTCTGCTCCGCACTCATCATTTGGCAGAGCAGGGTGGGCGGAATACAAAGCAGAGAGTCACGTCCCCGAACGCCTTTGTGTGTCTGCAGGAAGAAACCAGGTTAGCAAGGTCGTCTTGTTCTTGTAATATACTGCCTGTCTTTTCGCTGTCAAAGGGTTGACGTGTTTCACTGAGATAATTTGCTTTGCTTGGAAAACGTTGTTTAGTTTGCTTTTCTATTTCTGGTAGCTTCATCTACAAACAATGAATAGAAGATATCAGTACCCTTTTGTGGAGGTGCTGGAAGTTTCAGACCTAGTGCTTTTCGTGGCAGGAGAGCATTTTGTTTCAGAGCTCATGTTCATCTGCCAATTTACGGTAAAGCTTAGTCAAAGATCCTGCCATGTGAAAAGACTGTCTCTGCTGTATGCATATAGCGCTGCATGTTGTTTTTTTTTTTTTTCCTGGAATGATGCAGAGTAGCAGCATGAGTAAACACATAAAGGATGTGTTTGGTCTGTGATAATTTCCTCACAGAGAAAATGAAGCCTACTAACCATTAGGCTAGTCATTAGCCTCCCAGAGTGCTACAGAAAGGACTGGGAAGGCGTTAGGCCTGGCTGAAAGAAGCCGTCCGTCTGGCTGCTGAATGGGCTACAATTAAGAATAATTACGGCAGTAAGAGGCACATCTCAGCTACGTCGGGGTTCAGCATTGCTGACAGTGAGTACTCTTGTCCCCAGTGTAGACACCCCTGTCCCTTTTCTCTGCGCTGTGTCAGAACCTTTTACTCTGTCATTTGCTGCTCCGGCCTGTTCACCACACCAAATCCCACAAGACACCGGCAAGAGAGAAGGAGTCAGCCTAAATTTGGGCCTTAATAACATCTTTGCGCTCTTGACACCAGGTATAAAAGTGAGGAGAGGAAGGAAATAATAGATAACAGCAGCAGTTTGACTACCGCTTAAACTGACAGGCAGGAAATAATTGCTGGCCATGATTGCTGTGATTGGAGTGAGAGAGAAGAATGAGCAAGATCCTTGTATTCTTACTTAAGGCCACTATTGACGAAAGGAATTGTAGACTGGACGGCTGCACTTTCCATTTTTCTCCCCAACGGTCTCCTTTCCTTTAGCGCTGGTGGGGTGAACATTGGCCGCTGTTGGCTGGTTGGCTTTTTTGGGAGCAGCTGATTGGATTATCTGAGTAGGGGCAAGCCGTTCCCTCATTAGAATTCACTGTGGCCGTCCTGCCGCTAACGTTGCCTCTCTCTATTTTAAATTGATGAGGCCAGGGCAGGCGTGTGGCACAGACAAAACGCACAGATAAACACGACTCCATTAACCTGCCTCCGCAGCCCAGCGCTACTGAGCAGCTAGTGAGGCCTGATTAATGAGCAGGCTTTTGGAGAGGACCCCCATGCACCTCCTCTCTGCATCCTCGTTTTCCTCTCTCTTTCGCATCCCCCTCTCCAGACGCAAACCATCTTTGTGTCTTCTCTATCTCCCTCACTTGCTGTTGTGAACTGTGCTGCATGGCTAAATCATATCATTTGCTCCAAATGGGCCCAGCAGCTGACCCAGCATGGATTTCACCTTCCACCATCGATTGCAGCGCTCTCTTCAGGAGCAATTGATCAACCTGTTATCTGGGTTCAGGACGCCGTCAAATTGAAATCCACTCCTCTATTGAATTAAGAGGTGTGCTTTCGCCAGTCCCGAGGGTCTTTGGGTTTGACCTGTTTTGTGTTATATTTAGTTCCACTGCTCTGTCTAAAGCAGATGCTGCAAGGTTGTCATCCATTGTGTTTATGGTTTTTGTGACCTGCGCTAAAGGTCACATGCTCTCTGCAGATATGTCTTAATTTACTCTACAGCCTGCCACTGTCCTCTTTTTACAAGGAATTTTCATTCATACATCTAATAGAAAAAATCCACTAGGCTTCAGTGCATAATACTTTTACCCCTGCTTTTATAATTGCCACTCCATAATGATTTGAAATGCTTTTTGCTGCAGACTTATCCAGGATGTGCATTCTGACTAATTTTGATAAAGTACAATTTAGCCAGCCCCCCGTTAGTCAGTTAAGTTAATCACTAGCTCTCCAAACTTCATTGCTAAGGTCAGATGTAATATATGTTTTAATTAATAATGGTTATTTTAGCCAGATGTCTTTCTCTGTGTCTTGGTTTTTGAGATCCTGCATGGAGCTCATGTGTGGGATTATCGGTTGGCATTGTAATCGGAATAGTCAACAAAATTTATGAAATCTGACTGGTGATGACTCATCGTCCTCTACAAATATTTTTGCTAGCAGTTGTTGAGATTCATTGTTGTTTGTTTTTGCTAACAGCAGCTAAAGCAGAGTTATAGCCTTTTCCGCTTTTTTAACTGTGACCTCAACAATGCATCCCTGGCACAGCGCTGTTGTTAAGGCACTTAATGTTCCAGCAAATTACAACCCCAATTCCAAAAAAAGTTAGCACGCTGTGTAAAATGTGTATAAAATGTAAATAAAAACAGAATGCAATTATTTGCAAATCTCATAGACCCATATTTTATTTACAATATCACATAGAGCACATGTATCAGATGTTGAAAGTAAGGCATTTTACCATTTACCATGAAAAACATTAACTCATTTAGTATAAAGTATAATACTCAATCTTGAATATGATCTGTCATACTTTACAGACTGAATTGTTGGCTTGTATGTTTCCTCCTTGCCTTTACGAGCTGCGGCATAACTCGAGTACACACGGTGGTTGAGGGCAGGCATTGTATCCCTCTTGATGGCATACTTAGCCTAGGAAATGCAGTTGCTTTGTTATGTTTCTCTGTGTTTTAGTTATTGGTCAATGCAAATAAATGCTAACATGATAAGGTTTAACATCAAAATCAGAGACATGTATATTTTCCTCTTTTTTCCCAGTTGGAATGTGTTCTTGTTTTAAAAATAATACACTCTGAGTGGGCTTATCTTGGACTCAACTCAGTGATTTCACCCTGGCTCTCTCTCTCTCTCTCTGTTTCAGAACTCTCCTGGTTGAACTGGTGTCTGACAGGCTCCTGCCTCTTCAGCCTGCTTCTCATCCTCTTCTTCAGGGAATCCTATGACCGCCTCTATCTGGACGTCTTTGTGTCAGTCTGAGCACGCTGCTCCTTTTTGTACCAGGAAAAAAACGGAGCTCTGCAGGCACCATCTTGCACAAAGAAGACAAACTAAGAAGATGGGAAGTGCAGCATTGGTTTCTCTGTTTCACTGAACTTTCTTTCTACGTTACATGTTTTCTAAACCTTGTAGTTGTTAAAAGGTACTTGACAGTGATGACATTGTGATAGCATTTTATCAACAACAGAAACCAAGACCCAAGTTAAAATGGTAGTGTTGTAGATATCTTCCGTTTGTACTGGATATTATGGTCTTTGGATGCATCTCTTTTTGATATATAGGGTTTTTTAATCTTTTAAGTGAAGTAGTAGTGATGTTTATGAAGAGTCGCAATGTGAAAGACTCTTGTTGGGTGTATAAAGATGCCCCCTGTGGAGCACCCCGCGATGGGTCTCTTCTGCGTGTATTTAAAGGTTGGGGATAATTGTAGGCTTGCTCTATCAGCTGTCTAGGACAAGCTGCGCTAACAAGGGACCTCTTAGTCTTTTACTGTTGCTCATAACCGGGAATGGCGAATAGTGGGTGGGGCTTAGTGCTTAGAATGACAACTGACAGTGCCCGTGATTAAGTGGGATATGGATTCCTCCTTTTTTGGGATTTTTTTTTTTTCCTCTTTATCACTTATTATTATGCAAGCAATGATTTTAGCCTTACCATTTTCATCATCATCTCTCTGTGGGGTTGAGATTGCTCTTCACTTTTGAAGACCGAAAGCGCACAAAAGACCTGTTCAAAGAATCCTTTACTGAGCTCAGTTGCATTGATGCATCTTTTTTGGTTTTGTTTGGTTCATGGGACTCCTGTCCCTAAACATATTCATATGTATGGACTGAGGAAGTGATTCGAGGTTGTGCCAGTTTTCACTTGACTGGACAGCTTAGTTTTACAGTTGCTGCATGCGGATTATACGTGTCAGTCATACGGACATTTCAAGAGTTATCACAGTTTAGCATCAAGTTATAACAGTAGCATCAAGCATGTTTTAAAGGGTTTTAGATGTAATTTATGCAGTGTTTTTTATTTATTTATTTGAGGGATCAAACACTAACAGATTTTAAGAGACTGTTAATGGACTATGTATCTGGTTAAATACTGTTCTGCAGCATTTGGGAAGGCCATTTGAAATTCGGCATCAGTAACTGCTGTAGATATAAGACTGTCTGTACACCAGCAGATGTTTTTGGTTGAAGGGATGGTTGTCCAAAGAATGCTAACGTGGCCAACAGTGAATAATACTTGGACGCCTTGGCATAGTCTTTTATCCCCAAATGCTCACTGACTCCGATTAGTTCTCTTTCATTATTAACGAGATGAACATTTTGGATGCCTCTCTTTTGTAACATGGCCCATATTCTGATCAGCAGTTAGAGTTCAATATAGGAAGATGATCATAGCAGACCAGGGCATTTGATTGGGGTTGTGTAGTTGGTCCTCTGCAGTTTTGCACAGAGCAGGTCCACTCACTGCCTAGCTTTTCCTGGCAGTTTTCCCACTATGAGCCCTTATTTCTAAGTATATGACCCCAGAGGATTTCACAGCTAGAATAGCTATATAAGGCTACTGGTGGATCACTTAATGTAAGGTCCCTGGGCTTCAGATTAAAGAGAATCTCCAGAGAGGGCAAGGACAAGCTGTCTAACAGAGAAGATACCACAGTGCCCCAGAAAATCTTTAAGGGAAACAAATTGGTGGACCCACTGTGAGGGTTGGGGGGTTCCCTAGATTGGACCTTATGGACTGATTTACAGTTTACATTCATGTACAGGCATTAAGGTCATAAGATGTTTCTGTGAATGTTTTAGCCATCTTTATTTCAAACAGTCCTTGTCTACTCAGCTGTGCCACAAAGGACTGCAAGAAAGCACAGCTCTGCACCTCTTTGGGACAAGCCCGCATGTGACTTGCTGCCCAAGGTTCTGTCCTAACGGTTGTGAAACTCTGCCTTAATTAACAGTGACCTGTGCAATTTTGTTATCTCTCTTTCTCACCACTGTGATGAAGTCTGTGGTTTCTGTGCAAAGACATGTTCTGTTTCACACTGATAATGGTAATTGAAGGGATTCTTTAGGATCATGTTGTTCTTGTCTGTGTCTTTGTTCCAAATTCTGTTTGTCAGCAATTTTCAGCACCTTATTAAAAACCTGTTTTGAAAGAACGGGCCTCGTTTTCTCCTCTGTGCTAAAGTTGTTGACACAGTTGTATACAGAGGGAGATGTTCAGTGTTTGCTTCAGGCTCCTGAGAAATAAGTCATCTGATCATGATAGCACCTTTAATACATGTCACAATAAATGGCCAGGAAATGACTCCTTTCAGTTCCTCGAAATGAAACCTCGTGGATAACGGATGAGCTCAATGTATTGGAGCCTGTAAGCGCTCCATGACCTTCTCCACCCATCTCAGGATGAGATCATAGATGACATCAGGACTGTGTTGTACACTCTAGAGCCAGTGAGTGCTGAAAGTTCTCAGTGTCTGCACATTGTCTTGAGCACTATCCAATATGGCTTGGATTAACATTTGATTTCATCTGATCCACTCCACTCCATTCCATGCCAAACGACTTTCTCGGGAGCATGTCAACAAAGGATGAAGACAAACTTTTTTTTTTTTACATTTGTTTTTTTCCAAAAAGAGCTCAAAAAAGCGATTTCTCTCAGTGCTGAAGATGAGTAAGAAAATGGGCGTTTAAGCTTGTTTAAATTGAGGGTTTCAGAGTACAAAGCACAGCCTTGCCATAACTTTTAGCGCGTTGTGGTGGTACTATTACATGTCGACAGCAACGACAGGCTGTCTAGAAGAAGATCGTGTCTTTAAACAGGCACTTTCATTCAGTGACAAGCAATTTGGTAAAACATCCAGTTTTGTTCTCTGATCACGCACTCTCTGTTCTGACATGCTTCGTGTTGTTGAATGCCTTTCACACCTGCTGATGGAAATAGGACTCACTGTCAGTCCAACCGACATTTTATACCCTTTAATTTGTTTTCGGTTTCACTCTTCACTTCAAATGCTCCCAGCACTCTTGCTTCAGTTCTTCTTTCATGAATGCAACGTCTGTTCTTGGTAGGAAGTCTCAGAGGACTTCTCTCGCTTCAAGTTGAACAACAACCTGTATTATGAAAAATGCCTTCCACTTTTTATTGCCTCATTTAACCAAACTGCTCACACATTTTTTAGATTGCTCATCTGCCAGATATTAAAGCATGGCGACGGGTCAAGGAGACAGTGATGTAGGAGTATGACTGCGTTTCTCCATTAAATTACAGAGAAGGGGTGTTTAATGGAAGGCACATAAACCTCATGGTTCAGTTTGAAGGCCTGCTTTGAAGACCGCTGATTAGTCTTGGCCCAGAAAAGGATTTTCAAAGAATTTCTTGTCTCTGATGTTTTTACATTGTTCATACACTGTATGTCCAAAGGTTTGACACCTGCTGTTTCCTCTGAAATCAAGGGTATTAGTAAGGAGTTTGTCCCTGCTTTGCTACAGTAACAGTCTCTGCTCTTCAGAGAAGGCTTTTTTTGGAACAAGAGCATTAGTTAGGTCAGGCACTGATGTTGGATGATTGGGTATAGATCTCTGTAGCATCTGAATTAGCATTTTTTTACGTCAAAAATACTAAAATCTTGCTGAAGCAAGTCCTTTTCCTCCTCCTGTCTACAACAGCAGTCAGGTTGTTCAGTCCAAACAGATCAAAATGTGTCTTTACTGAGTAATCAGCCGAGTGACTGAACACGCATAACATGTTAATTACTTGCATGTGTGACCAACATAATTAGAAACATTGTGGAAAATATAATTTAATCCACATCAGCTTCTTAACGGGGAAATTTACCACCAGAGACGTAAAACACACCAATAATTGGTAATTCTCATTTATGAATGAGCAAACGTTACCAGGGGCTTTTTGCTCTTAACATCACTGTAAATCTGGCAGAGCGTTTCATGACTTAGCAGGGGTGTAGCACCAAATTTAGGGCCTCAGGCACAGTAGAGTGCCCACCCCAAAACACTTCATCATTTATTTATTTATTTATTACATGGTATTTGTTTATGAGTTTAATTGGTATGCAATTAAGGGTTGAACCGCTGACAATACAGCGTGCTTTGAATCTTGCTGTAGTGTTTTAAAGATTAGGCTGAGGCTAATGTCTTTGTGTTTGCAAAAACACTGTTACGTTAGCTATTTAAAAATGTTCGCTGCAATGAATCCAATCCTGTGCTTGTTTAGCAGCTTGTGCTTGTTACAAACGTCATTAGTTAGCTAGCTAACCTAGCTAGCTCATGTCACAGCACATTTACAGTTTGGTATTTCAGGCTCACCTGTTTTCTGAAAGAAACGGGTCAGAATTTGCCTGCCCTCTTTATGCCTTTTGTCTGTCTCTTTCTGCTCCCTTCGTTTGTGAAATCCTGATTTTGGTTTCATTTGAACCAGGTGAGAACCGGTGAACAGCAACAGCTATAACTGCCATGTATAGCCAACAACGGAGAAGTCAAACTAAAGATGTGTAGCTGGAGGATCAAACCACTTTTTTTTTGAGCTGGGGTGGGGTGTGATAGCGGAAACAACTGGTAAATGGAGCAGAACTTAGAAGATGATCATGGAAATAAAGTCTTGTATTATGTATTTGTATAATAACATAGAGTATCAGCATTTAAAAAACAAAAGCAATTCATTTCCGAGGCTTTGGATGAAGCACCCCCCACCACCACCCCCATTCAGGGACAGTTATTCAGGTCCATTACCTGCTGTCCACAGCCAACTGTCCTCTAAAACAAAAGGGAAATTGTCAGTTTGTTACAAATGTGGAAGGATGCTAAATGCTGAAGTGTTGTCATTAAATGCATTTTTCTCCTTATCGACACAGTATTATGTGAGTGTCATTATGTGAGTATTTGTTGTTGTTCTTAGCTCCAGTAGCTATTCCATATATGCCACTGCATTAGCATTCTCAGCCGGAGCCTCAGAGATGCAAGATTGGGGGTAAACATGTTTGCATTACACTGGCTGGCTAGCAGGAATGTGTGTTAACATGCTCCTGGTATCACTGCCTCCTGTCTCCCTTCAGCGCTCGCTCTGCTGTCTGAAAAACCAGTTCTCATTGATCAACTTAGAGACAGAACAGTCTGGAGTCCTGACCAACACTCTGAAGCTTAATGAGAGGCAGCCTCAAAGAGAGAATTTGTAGATGATGCTCATGACTCCCACCCATCATGCTGAGCCTCCTCAGTGCCTTTCATTCTCAACAGGAAACAGGAGGAGAAAACAAGCAGGCAGCAGGTTTGGATTCACTTGTGCAGCTCTAATGTGGGCCGACGTGGTCTAACCAAAAGCAGCACGTCCCAGAGCAATTATGAGATCCAGACGGGCGGAAATGCCACAGCCGGTGGGGCACCGCAGCCTTTGATCATACAGGCTTTTCATTTAAATCATAGCACACCTTCCCTCTGCCAGTCATGCTCTGCTGCTGTGGGCAGCTTAGTGAATAGGTTCTGGATGTGCATCCGCGGTACGACCCTCAGTAAAGATATATGAAATCTAGAGGTGGGAAGTAACAAACTGTAACAAACCACAGTACGACTGTAAGATTTTTAAGTTTTACTCACGTTTGAAAAGAATAAACAGGGTGATTCAAAAAGATCCAATTTCAGAATGATTTATTTCACTTGTAAATCATTACTGAACAAGACAGTAAATTGTAAATGGTTTAAGTGTGTGTTTATTATGTCATTTTACAAGTGCTCAATATGCCCTCCTCCAGCTGTACGGACATCATCAATGTGATAGTCAAATTCATCCCATACTCGACTGAGCATGTCGGGTGTCACTGTACTCGCAGCTCTTTCAATGCGATTTCGGAGATCATCCAGTGTTTTGGAACCAACGACGAACACTCTGAGCTGTTGGAGGTTCACTGCTGACAAAAATCACATTACACAGTTATGAGGAATTCACTCTTATTGAAGTGGAGAACGCAAAATGCTTTCTGCTCAGGGGTCGCCATCGCCTCGCAGACTCAAGGGAGCCATCTTCTGGTGACAGTCAGAAACTCTATGACCCCCCTCTTTCAATTGGTATGTGATTGGTTCCTGGGCGTCTCACAGTTGTACAAATATGGCGCTTTGAAATCAGATGAATCTGGATGAAATATATATATAAAACCCAATTTCTTCTATTTTTGCCAAATTGTCACATTTATATGTTTCATATCAGCCAACTAATTTTAATATAAGATAAAGACAACATGGGTTAAC